TGTGTGTGTGTGTGTGTGTGTGTGTGAAAGCGCCTGGCATAAAGTGCTTTTACATGTTTAAGGCCTCCTTTGTGACTCGGGCAGGTGGCAGGGTTTTATATCCAACTTCTTAGCACAACTTTAGCAAGGAACCCAGAATCCATCCAGGAACCCCTAGTCTGGGCTCCTTGCAAAACTGGCTCTTAGCAGCCTCTTGCTGAAACTTTTGCACAGGGCCTGGTCCTGGATGGGCAGAGCTCTGCTCTGATATGTAGGAGAAGCCCCTCTGTGTCCTTCTTGAAGTCACCCTTGAAAGGAGGTCCAGGATGTGCCTGGGCTAGGATAGTGGTGTTCAGACTCCTGAAATCATGCTGTGCTGGTAGATTTCCACTCTTCCAATCCCCCCTCCCTAGACACACATGCACAAGCACACACACACGCATGCATGCACGCACTGCCCGCATATCTGAGCGCAATCAGGGTCAACCCTCTGAGTCCACGTGTCTTGCCTGTAAACTGTGAATCTGGTGATCTAGAAGGGCAGAGAAATCCTGAGGGTGAGAAAGCAGCCCCTCCAGTGTAGGCGCTGTGATGGTGAGGAAGGGTGTTTCAGAGATGACTGTGTTTACAAGAATCCCACATTTTTGTTGAGACAGCTGCTGAGTCCCCTTGCGCTCTCTCCCACCTGTCACCTCCCTGACTCATGGACCACCTGTCAGCCCAAGGCCTCTGAGGAAGTTCCCAAACATCCTAGTTTTGGCCACCCCCCGACTTAATTTCAGATATCCAAGTAAGGAGTTTTAAAGTATGTCCAGGAGAAGTCCCCAGCAGACATAAAACATCAGGGCTTGGGAGCTCTGTCACTCTGAGACAGCTTGATGTAGGGGAAAGAGGGAGTCAAGTACAAGGCCAGCCAAGGTCAGGCGAGGCAAGGGAACTGGTATTCTGGGGATGGGATGTGCATATCCACCCCGTGAGGTCAGACCAGCCTGGGGCATCCAGGATCTGCCTCTTACTTACTGAGTGACGTGGTCAGTGAGGTACCTTCTCTGGGCTGAAGGGACTAATTCCTACTTCATGGGGTTGTAAGTATTGAATTGGATCAGAGAGCAAAGTAGATGACCTGGGACCTGGCCTAGAGTAGGTGGTCAGTAGCTATACTAACAGGCATGATCTCAGTTAATGGCAACTCCATCCTCCCAGGAGTCATCTCCTGGAAGAGAAACTGTGGAGTCATCCTTGACTCGTCTTTCTCTCACATCCCCCACCAAAACTATTAGCAAATCCTGTCATTTCTCCCTTTATCTTGTGCCTCACTTCTCATCACCTCCTATCACTGCACCCAGGTCCAAGCTGCCATGACCCCTCCCTTGGCATATTCCATTGGCTTCCCATCATGTCTCTCATTAGACCCTTCACTCTTTTCTCAACACAGTAGCTAGAGGGATCAAGCCATCCATAGCTCACTATTTCACTCACCCAAGTCTGTGCGATGGCCAGCAAGCAGCTCATGATCTGCCCAATCCCTCACCCCTCTGACCTCTGCTCCCACCACTCTCCCCCTCACTCTCCCAGCCCCAGCCTCACTGAACAACCCCTGTTCCTCAGCACTCAGGGCCTGGTCTCCCCCTGCCTGGGGTACACATTCCCTGACACCCCTGCAACTCAATCTCCCCTTCCCTATGAGGCCTGCCTTGACCACTGCAGTTGGCATTGCTACTCCAACAAACCCAGTACGCCCTCACCCTTTACCCTGCTCCCACAGTACTTAACACCTTCTAGCATACCATGTAATTCACTGATTTCTTGTTTAATGTCAGTATTCCATCTCCTCTCATTAGAATATAAACTGCACAAGGGTGAAGATGTTTGTCGTGTTCCCTGATGCAACCCAGGCACCTAGACCTCAATGAATACTTGTCATGTGAATGATGGAATCTCACAACAACCTTATGAGGTGGTTAAGGAAACCAACTTCATCTAATGACAAGAAAAACCCAGGTTTTCTATAGTTAGGTTGTGATCTTCTGCGGGTGCCTGGGGTCAGGGTAGGGATGACAGTGAAAAACATGGCTCCCCTGTGCCCTCAACCCTCTCCCTTTTATGATTCTCTTGCCCTGGGTTGCTGTCCCTTTCAACATTCTGGCACAAGCACAGATACGAACCCATTCCTTTGGCTTCCCTCTGCACAGCTGAGGTCACCTGGAACTTTCTTGAGGTTTTACTATTTCCTACTATGTGAGAAAATTAACATAGACAACATACGAATTATAAAAATGGTCTGGTTTATGAAGTGCAGGATTCTGATTAGAGGGTGTAGGCACTGTCTTGTTTCCAGTTCCTTCTGAGATGCCTGGCCTAGGTTCCCTCCTTCCTGGGTCCTAACCTCCCACTCTCTACCTGACTCCCTCCTTCTGCCCCTGGAGCTAGAAACGTGACCCGCTATTTCCCAGCCATGACCTTGAGAAGGTCACTTCTCAGGGACAGTCTCCTCTTCCGTAAAATGGGAAGGCTTATGCTTTGGCCCTCAAGTCCTATTGGGAGGCACAGATGAAATAACGGCGTGATGGGCTCGGAGAACTTCTGAACCTGACACAAACCTAAGGTAGATGGGAGGTGTGCATATAGAGTCAGGGCCACCCTAGAGCCAGGATGACAAAAGAACCTGAAATAGGGGGCAGTGGGGCTGTTGAAACAGCTGGTGTCTGCAAAAGTCACCCTCACCAGGTCAGGTCACCCTTGCCAGGAGACCTGCATTCTGATCACAGACAGAGGAGCTTTAATTGCAAGCAAGGACCCTTTGGTCTCCTGACTCTCTGGTTGTAGATGAGGCTGACAGTGGGAGAGCCGGAACCCAGGGAAACTGAGGCTCTAAGTGGGGCTGGGCTGAGGTCTCATCAAATCTGAAGGGGATCCCAGGGGAGCTCATGTCCTGGGAGGAGCACCTTTGGGGGCAGTATCCTTGTACCCCCTTGGGAAAATTTGCTTGGCATAATGAAGTCCATAAAGTACCTACTACATATCAAATATCGTGCTTAGTATTGGGGATACAACAGTGAACACGACAGACAGGGCTCTTGCCCTCAAGGGACACAGTGCCTATCAATGAGACAGATGTGAAGCAAATACTCGAATAATTATTATTAACCGCAGAGGCCAGAGCTCAGAAGGAGAGGCACAGGGTGCCATGAAAGTGTATAACAGGGAAACTTCATTTCGTGCATGTGATGGTGGTGGGGCAATGCGGGGGGAGCGGGGGCGGGGGGCGGGCAGGAAGGCTTCCCTGAAGGTTCTGTTTGCTCTAAGAACTAGTTGCAAGACATCAGTGGATTATCTCAACCAAGCCAAAACTGGGCTCTCCACGTGTCCCTGCAGGCCCCAGGAAGCTGGACAGAGTGCAGCCCTGAGGCCCTTGACGGAGGTCGGGTGCCAGGGTAGGGGATAGGACCTGGCAGTGAAGGGGCAGGGCGGTCCTGAGGGGTGCAGCCTGGGCTCTGCTCCTCAGTCTTTCCAGGCCCCACCCAGCCCCTGGCACATCCAGCCAGCACCGACTGCAAGATCCCGGCTGCTCGGCCACTGACGGATGGACGCAGCGGGGCAGGGCTCCATGACCTCACTGTAATGGTGTCCTTACAGCCCCGCCAGCAGGAGGAGAAAACAAACACTGAAAAGTCCCCCAGTGCTCCCAGATGCCTGCTCAGGAAGACTCAGGGCTCCAGGCTGTGGGCAGCGTGCCCAGCTCAGGAGGCCAGAATGGAATTCGAAAGTGCTTGTTTCTCTCTGAAAAATTCCAAAGATTGCTCAACATTCCTTTGACCCCAGGAGCTGGCGTTTTGCAGGAGGTGCTGAGAGCTGAGGATCCGGAGCCTTGTGCGCCTGCCCTGTGGCTCAGGACTGTCAGGGAATAGCCCCTCTGTCCTGCTCCCCGGCGGGCAGAGGGAGGGAGGCAGTGGAGGGCTCTGGAGACACCTCCCCTTGTCTGGACACAGGGGCGCTGATGGTGGAGTGGACTTTATAGGTCTGGAAGGAGGATGGGGAAACTAGCAGGCTTCAGTAGAGGGGAGAGGACACTCCTGTCCCTTGATGAGAGCTGCCATGTTCCCAAGAGGCCCTGACACCGGGGGCCCAGATTCTCAGGCTCTGGTGCAAAGGCCACTGAAGTAGCTCACTGAGATCAACTTTCTGTGACCACTGGGAAGATCAGCTCTCTTGCCAGCTCTGTGTCTAAGGACGTTGGCTCAAATGCCTCCTCCTCCAGGCAGCCTGCTCCCTGCCTGGATTTGAATCTTCTCCTCTGATAAGGCACTAACCACACTGTGTCTCACATTGCAGTTGTTTCTCTAAGTGTCTGCTCTCCTCTACAAAGGAGGAAATGTCCTGGAAGACAGGAGCTGTTTTGGCTCAGGCCTGTATAATTCTGCAGGACCCAGCTGGCGTAGAGATGTAGATACCAAGATGTTCACCGCAGCATTGTTTACAATAGTGGGAAATGGGAAGTTCTCTAAGTGTTCAAGAATGGGGTTTGATTAAATAAGTTGGAGTGTATCCATATGGTAGAATGCTAAGCAGCTATTGACAGTTACATTTTAAAAAAAATATTTAAAGATACAGGAGTATGTTAAAATCAACAAACTTCATCCTGCAGAGTTAGCCACTATTAACATTTTGGTGTGTTTACCTATTTTTTCCCTATTAGATATACAAATGCATTAAAATCCCACCAAAATGGGATTACGTGTGGGGATAAAAGTTACATTGTGTTACGTGTGGGGTTGCATTCTTGTGAAAGTAACGGAAGACAGCAACTGGAGGGGAGTCTATATTGTCACAGAATGTACAGTATGAAGATGTTGAAAATTATACTGCACTCAGCATTCTGTACACTGAATTAGAAAAGCCTCAAATGACTTTGAGGCTGTCACTTCCTAACCACACCCACCTCATTCTCAGAAGGGACCCGTGGTGGGCCGTGGTTTGAGAATGAGGGTGGAAGGAATGAAAGCCTATAGATCATATCAAATTTTGCATAATCACTGAATCTGACATATATTTTAATGACATTAGAATCATACTGTGTACAAATATGTTTCATATCATTTCTTATTTAACATTATATCTTAAGCAACACTCCATCTTATTAAATATTATTTTAAAACATGTCGTTGTACATGTTCTTGCTTTCTAAAAATGTCTTTGTTCTTATCTTTTACCACCACCCCCTTATTCATAGGGTGCAACCGCTGAGTCAAAAGTATCAATAGACCTATTTTAAAGATTATTGAAATACATTTCCAAATTCCCCTCCAGAAAATTACACTGAATTACACTGAGCAGCAAATGAGAGAGTTGCCTGGAGCCCTGTCATTGGGTGGGTTAATCGTTGTTTAAGTGAATAGATGGATCTGAGAGGTACTTCCACAGGCAGAATTGATGGGATTTCATGGCTGCGCGGTGCTGGGGGCATGAAATCAAAAGCAGAAGGAGTTGACGATACTGAAGTCCTTGGCTTGGGTGTGCGTAAAGATGAGGAAGCCTTCGGTGGAGAAAGGGAGAAAAGAAAGAGGATTGGGATCAGGAGAATAGAAATTTGGTTTGGGAATACTGCATATTTAAAAGAAACAAACAAAAAAATATATAAGACCCAGAAGATAAATAAACAAAGACGTTTCCCCCAAAGAAAACATGCAAATACTTCAAGAATAATAAAGTGTCAATCTTATCATTCCATTAACTAAGATTCATTTGGCTGAAAATAGTAGAAATTTAAGTTTTATAAATTTAGTTAAAGTGGAGAATTTAGGGAAGATTCATAAAAGATCGGACGAGCAGAGATACAACTAGGACCCGATCGTTCTTACACATTGACAGGATTCTCTCTCTCTCTCTCTTTCATCTTTGTTTTTCTCTACAGAACAACCTTATTCTCTCTCAGACTGGCATTGTCCACGTGGCAGGAAGCATGGCTTTTGAGAGCACCTGTGGCTCACCTCTCACAGCTTTGCTTCTAGGACCTGCTCTCTCTGGTCTCAAGGTCAAAACTCTCAAGGAAAGGCTCTTATTCACCCAACATGGTGCCTCAGCTGAGGCCTAGAGTGAGCTGTTATGATCGGTCACCTTAGCTCAAGGACCCTTCCCTGGGCTAATAAACAGTGTTTGGGAGCAGGCTTCAGAAGAGAATGGAGCGCACATGTGAACCAAAGGGTTAGAAAGGACAGACTGTTGCTCAGAAGAGGTGTGCAAAATAATTGATAGTCTTCCCTGCATACCCACATAATTTTCTTTCCATACACAAAATATCCCCAGGTGTCCTCTCTTATTGTAATACAGCCATCCTCTTATCAGTGGGATGTAACTCAAAGTCATCCAGCTACTGCTTCTCTCTCCAAGTCCAGAATCCCCTAGATGGACGATCTCTCTTTCCTCTTGTAGTTTTCAAGATTTTCTTGTTTCACTCTTGACATTCTACAGCTGTAGACCAGCATGTATAAGTGTGGATTTATTATTTATTCTACTCAACATTCAGTGGGCACTTTCTGTCTGAAGATTCTGGAGAATTTTTCACCATTATCTCTTCAGTCTTCTCTACCATTTGCTCTATTCCTTTCTTTTGAATCTTCTCTTGGATGGAGGTTCTCAAACTCTTTTCCCTGTCTCATAATTACCCTTTCATCATTTTCGATTTTTAAAAAATCCTCTGTGCTGAGTTCTGGGTGAATTCCTCAGCTCCATCTTCCAAAGCTCTAATTATTTATTCAACTGTATTTGGTCCAGACCTTCTCCCATCTGTTCAGTTTTTATTTCAAGTACTAGATTTTTCCATTTCCAGGATTTCTAGTTGTTCCTCTTCCATATCCACTTATTCTTGTTCATTTTTTCCCTCATCTTTTGAGAATTCTCAACTTGCTTGTTTTACAATCGTTTTCATCTGGTTCTACTATTTTCTTTTCCTCTGAAAGGAGTTTATCTCCTGCTGATTGCTTTTGTTGGCAGCCTTTCTTCACATTAGTCTTCTTATTTCCTTTCTGTTTCCTATCCATGGGCATGTTTATCTTCTTTTGAAATGTGACTGTGTCCTTTTATTTTCCTCTCTCTCACATGTTTTTCTTTCACTGGAGAGGCAGTGTAGAGTAATATTAAGAGCTCAGGTTCTGGAGACTGCCTGTGTTCAGATCTTGGCCCCATGACTTAAGAGCTGTACGATTCGGGGCAGGTTTCTTGATCCTCATCTGTAAATTGAGGGATAATAAGAATAACACCTACCTAATAGGGTTTGGGGGAGGCTTTAGTGAGCTGATGCACACAAGGCACTTCCACAGTGCCTAGAACACAGTGAGTGTTTAGTACATGTTAGATATTTTCCCACATATTTAGAGAAAATTAGTGCATCCAGGTGTGGATAGGAACGGTGCTCAAAGGACGAACTTAGAAGGTCACTTGCCAGCAAGTTCAAGTCCAGGATTCCTGAGTGTGTCTATTCCTCTTGGTCAAGCCTTCCCATTGCTCCCCATGATCTTGCCCACACTGGCTTTGTGATTACTACCAACCACCTCCCACACTCCTCATGTACAATGCTGGTGGGAAACAGGGCACCTGTTATAAATGCTACTGTTGAAAATGGGTGAAAAGGAGGCAACACACAGTGGTCGCATTTGAACCACATCCAGCTGGACAGGGATGGTGAGGTCAGGGCTGTGGCTGGTGAATATCACTGCATCTTGGCAAAGACTGAGTTCTCTGGTCGCCAGTCTGACTCTCCAGGTTTTGCCTGTTGGGAGCATTGCCCTTGCCCACATCCACAAAACCTTTCACGAGCAGGGTGGTGGAGAGGTTTCCTCCACTCAGGGCTGTACTGCCTTACGAAACACTTCCTATTGGTCTAGCTACCTAGGAATTACCTCATGATAGATTTCCCCAAATCTTTTGGATGATAGAAATCTCCCGGGGAATTTGATGAAAATTCTCAATCACACCCCAGATCCACTGACTCTCCAGGGGGAGCATCTTGGGAATCTGCATTTTTTAACAATCATCTCAGGTGATTCTTATCATCAGGAAAGTTCGAAAAAGTAATACTACCTCAGTGGTTGAGCAATCGCACACCTCAGTTTGGCTGACTTGGGCTATTTTAGCATTTCAACGTTGAAAACTATGATCATCGGACTGTGACTTTCATTTTGGGGGTCTCTGTTGGCCAATTTCCAACTCCAGAAAGTTGCAAGGCATGAGAGGTGTATTGGACTCTGCTCACATGACTCCAGCCTCTTACTACAGATCTGGAGGCTCTGCTCTTCTCCTGGGGCTCAGCAGGAAATGTGGAGAGGGAAGCCACGGCTGGCCTGCCCTCAGTATTGTCCCTGTTCTGCGACTTTCACGTCACACTGGGGCGGGGTGGGAAGAGGATGCAATTCCTCATGAGGCAGGGAGTGCACAACATGAGGCGCTGGGCTGGTTGTGGTCCTTTCCAGGTATCACCATTCCAACTCCCAGGATCCTGTGGCTTCTTAATCAGTGCAGAACCTCTGGTGTGGGGCAAAGCATTCAGCTTTTGCAATTGAGCAAATGGTATAACTCTGTGACCTCAGCCATTTGGGACTGCTGGCTACCAACAGAAAGACCTCTCTTAAAGCTGCTATCTCTCTGTCCAGCAGCTCCCTGAATGTTTGCTGCTTCCAGGTCTTCTGTTTCTCTCATGGCACCCTACCTAAGGCTGCGAGAAATTACTGCCACATTCTATCATCCTGATATTTCATACCGTGTCTCCCAAGTATAAGTCTGAATGGCACATGGTCTGAGTCCCAAGAGCCACTGGAAAATAGTCTAACCAACTGCCTTGATAGCGTAAAAATAGGGAAGGCAATTTTCCCAGCCTAGGATCTGTGGACGCTCACGGCACGCCAACCAACCTTGATTCAGTCATCTGGGGGTTCCTCGATTTCCACACCCCCGTTCATGTTCCAGTTTCTGTATTAAGCTTCTTTTAGTGGTAAGGGACAGAAACACAACTCAAACTAATTTTTGCAAAAGAGACATCTATTGGAAGGGTCACACATTGGAAGAGAGCAGGGCTGTAACTGACTTCAGCAACCCAAACCACTGAGACTTTCTCCCTGCCCCTCTTTCTTGCTTTCCTCTGCATGTCAGCGTTGTTCACTCTGACAGGTTTTGTGTGGATGGCAGAGACATGCCCTTGGCAGCGGCTGTGACTCACCTCTCCTCTGAACCAGCACAGAAGGATGGGGCTTGTTTTCTCTAATCATAATTATTTATTTATTTATTTATTTTCGCGGTACGCGGGCCTCTCACTGTTGTGGCCTCTCCCGCTGCGGAGCACAGGCTCCGGATGCGCAGGCTCAGCAGCCATGTCTCACGGGCCCAGCCGCTCCGCGGCATGTGGGATCTTCCCGGACTGGGGCACGAACCCGCGTCCTCTGCATCGGCAGGCAGACTCTCAACCACTGCGCCACCAGGGAAGCCCCCATAAATTTTTTAATTACAAAGAAAGGCTCTGAATGGCTTAGCTTGGCTCAGGTACCAGCTTGATCTTGGACCACATGTTTAGAAGGAGGACTAGGAGCACTTCCCAGAAGAGTCTTTTCTGGGTGGACAGAACGAAAGCTGTGCTCTACCCCAAATAGCAAAGAAATACAAATTAAAACAGCCATTAGGGCTTCCCTGGTGGCGCAGTGGTTGAGAGCCAGTCTGCCGATGCAGGGGACACGGGTTCGTGCCCCGGTCCGGGAAGGTCCCACGTGCCGCGGAGCGGTTGGGCCCGTGAGCCATGGCCGCTGAGCCTGCGTGTCCGGAGCCTGTGCTCCGCAACGGGAGAGGCCACAAGAGTGAGAGGCCCACGTACCGCAAAACAAACAAACAAACAAACAGCCATTAAATGCCATTGGAATGAAACAAAATGAAGATACCCAATACAGTTTTCTATTGCTGCAGCAACAAATGACCTCAAATTTAGTGGCCTAAAACAGCCCAAACATAGTCTCTTACAGCTCTGTAGTCAGGAGTCCCGCACAGTCTCGCTGGCCTAAGGTCACGGTGTCAGCAGGGCTGTGCTGCTTCTGGAGGCTCTGGGGGAGAATCCATTTCCTTGCCTTTTCCAGCTTCTAGACATCCCCTACATTCCCTGGCTCATGGCCCCTTCCTCCTTTTTCAAAACCAGCAACATGTGCCTGGGTGATTCTCACACAGCTGCCTTTCTGGTTCTCTTCTGTCTTCCTCTTAAGGACCCTTGTGATTACATTTGGGCCCATCTAGATAATCCAGGATAATCTCCCCAACTCAAGATCAACTGATTAGCAACCTTAATACCCCTTTATGTAAGGTCACCTCTACATAGGTTCCAGGGATTAGGACCTATTAGGGGGTGGAGGCTCTTAGTATGTCCACCACAGCTGGTAAGAGGGCAGTGAGTAGATCCTCTCAAATTCTTCTGGTCAAGGTGTAAATTTGCATAAAATTTCTGGAAAATAAGTTGGTAGTTTGGCAAATCAGCCTTTAAATGTTCATATTTGTTCATTCAATAAC